ATTACTTTTAAAACACGTATTGAATCGCTTTTCAAACGTCATATAAAGTAACGAAACACACAAATTGTGTCAACAAATAGTGTTTCACAGAATATATACATATATGCAGAATATTCTGTCACTTTTTCTATCAATTCTTTAAGTATTCACTAAAACTTATACTAAAAGAGATATTCATTCACTCTATAGTGAAAGACAGCCTAAACTCTCATTACAAACAATACAACAAATATTTATTTTACAATTTTATGTTTCAAATGATTTTATATTTAAACACAAATATAATCATTGATTTATTGAGTGAATATATTTGCGATCATGTCTTAGAAAATGGTTAATTCATAGCATATAACAGTAATCTTGGGATCAATTCAATTGACATCAAATAGCATTACAAACGACCAAATGGTGTAATGAAAGCCATCTATGAGTGAATCGCTTTACTATTGAAGTCAATGTTTACGAGTGTTTTGTATGGCATTGAAGGCAAACACGTGTTTGCATTGAATCCCGAGTTTGTGGTCAACACATCCCCTCTCAAAGACATCACATCCTTGTTATCACGTGTTGTTTCACTAATACTAAACCCAATCGACAATGTCTTCGCTAAAGAGGGCCATGAAATCCAAGCAACGGCTGCATAAAGAGAGACATCAGGTATGCCTTGAATGAGACAATCGGATGACTTGTTTTTAACCATCAATTGATAATTGATTTGTTTGTCTTTGTATTTGCAATGAAAGCCCGAATCGAGAAAACAATTTGGATATCTGGAGAAGAAACAGGACTACAAAGCGAGGGCCAAGTATGGCGACCACCGCTTGACACACCATTCCTCCGCATGTCTCGTGTCTAATGAGTTGTTTTGTTTGTCTTTGTGTTATCCAGTGATTACCAGAAGAAGCAAAACGCGTACAAACTGTTGCGACAGAAGGTGTTGGACAAGAACTCAGAGGAGTTTGACTTTCATATGATTAAATCGCAACTCAAAGACGGCGTTCACTACGAGATCCGCGACGACGACCGCGAGCTCACCAAAGATG